CCCAAACCCAAACCCAAAACCCAAACCCAAACCCATTGATTAGGGATCAATTTTAGCTCATAAATTATATGTGGAATTTACATATTCTAAAGGTATGGATATTATAGTTATTGGTAACAACTCTCCTATGTTTAATAACATTTGTGGATTCTTTTCTTAGATGAGAGACTAATGAGAAAGTTAATCAAATATAAGTTGAAATTCAAATCAACCAAAAGGAAGAGGTAAATTAGCTGAGGCTTATAATAATTAATATTGATATATAATCTAATTACTCTGCTAAATTTATCAAATCAATGCTATTTAGAGGCTTTAGGAGTTCGCATATAATTTTTATATGTACTTTTCTTCCATAATAATATCAAATATTTGATCCAGAAATTTTAGATTGATTTAAAAATTGCTGTAATGCTATAATGGATACGGACCCTTGACAGGTTAATCACCTATTCTATTTGTGTATAAGCTATTTGGCATTAATATATAGGAAGGGGATCGCATCAATATTAATGAACTATTTTCGACATTTAAGAAGATGCTCTTGCTTTAATGATTGTTGTGGCTATGCGTTTAAAGATTTCCTAATTGTTTCTAAAATCAAATTCTATAATTGCCTTATTGAAATTTCCACAATTTCCAAGGCACATTTTCTTTAGACATATTAAACAAATACATTGCCCTGTAAAAATGGTCTCCAATTTAGAACTTAGTATTGAACATTTCTTTTTTTAACATATTGTTAAGAAATGCTTTGCAAAAAATTAGCTAAAATTAATTGATAAGAAATTGATCATTTCCTATTTAAATGAATCCTTAATTTTTAAAATATCATAAGGCAAAACTATATTATTACTAGCTAAATTGACTTTTCTTACTGTAAATAATTCAAATATTACTTAAGCAAAATAATTTTATTGATTAAATAAAATTGTAAGATTTTGCTTAAATTAATTAAGATTTGTTTATTTTAAAAGATAAAGCTAGGCAATTTTCACAATTTTAAATAATGTTTCATTTTCAATTGTTTGTATATTATCAATTAATCTATTATTCAAATTTTTATATCATAATCTCATCAGAGTTACTACCTTTTATAAAAATAAATGTTGGTTCTTTTCAATAAATGTTTTTATGTCACTCAATAATTAGAACATTAAATTGCATAAAATTTAAGACTATATTTCGTCTAGAAATGAGTAAAGGTTAAATTCTGTATCCAAATAATGTTTCTCAAGAATTTATTAATTATGAGTAGACAGCGATTCTATAAAAGCTTCTAAACATATTTCAAATTGTACAAATTCAATATTCTGAATTTAATATGGATCTGTAGAATGAAATTATAAGGAGAATAACACAAAGGGCATTAATAGTATTCATCCTTTTGCTTTTAATCAAACATTTATTTTTTTAAACAATTCAAATGGAAGGTATGATTACAACTTGAAACATGGGCTGATAGGATATCAATATGTGTTTTAGAGGATACTTCAATAATTTTTGATTGTTCCAATATGTTGAGTACTAGATTAATATTGGCTAATATTGAAGATCATTATTTTCAAATGCTAACTTACATAATTAACAAATTTCATATGTATCTTTTGAAAAATCTTCATTAGTAATTTGGTTAGACAAATTTACCATCATTAGATTGAATTTTTTAATTTTTCTTTATTATTTTAGTGATTTTCATAGGATTTAGATTCAGTTACCTATTGTTCTTTTTAGTTCAAATTCTGAGTGAAACTTAAGTTTTCAAATTTGGAACAATAAACTTGGAAAAATAACTTTTATGTATGATTTACTTTATCCAGCAAATAAACACTTAACTGTAGTTTTAAATTTTATCAATTAGATGCTATATTTTGACGTTAGTGGAACTAAACATTTAATTGGATAATTATCATAAATTAATGTAAATGGCATTCTCTTGTAAATTTTTAATGTTGCATCCAATTAATTAATAAGTTCCTTGTTGGATTATAAATTATTCTCTAAATCTTTTAGAATTATTTAGAATTTCATATCTAATATTAGTCAGTGTTGATTTTGGTGTACCATAATATTTCAGTTCGTATTCTAATGAGGATCCAAATATCTCAACAAATTTGACATTTTACATTTGCAATTTATCATTAATCTTCTCTTTGATCTTCTCATTATAGCAAGCATATATAGGTTCATAAAAATGCAATTTTAATTCTTTTTTCAATTAAAGCTGTCCATTATCTTAATTAATTTCACAAGAACTCAAAATTAAGGTTTCTAAATCTATTTTATTTTCATAACTGAATTCTTTAAGAAGAGTCCTCATTTCATTTAAGTTAAAATGTTTCAGAATAGAAAACAGTTTAAAATAATTTTGTCAAATCTTTCTAAAATTATTCATTAAATTGATTTCCAGTAATGCTTCTAACACATTATATTAATTCGTAATCTGTTTAAGCAATTTTACAAATTAAGAAAGATAAATCTATTTTTATTTTAGGTGTTATTATATTTCAATAAATCCTTAAACAATATGATTTATTCCTAACTCTTGAAACAAAAAAGCATAGAGTTATATGTATGCAACATCAACTTATTGAAGTGATACCTCATTTTCTAAATTTTTCCAATAATCTTAATCTCCCTTATAATATTCAAAACATATAGGTGATTAAAAAATGATATAATTTAACAAAGTCCGTCTTAAAATTTGATGCATAATTTAATTGAACTAGGTCTTATCTAATCCACTTAACTCTTGGATATTATTATATGCATCTTAAGAATTTGAAAAATTAAGCAAATATATTGACAATACAGTAATAAAATTTCGGTCACTCAAGACTTAATTAAATGCTATTAATTGTATTGGTGATTAGTATTTTAAAACAAAAGAATTTATTAAATTATTAAGGTAATAGTGCAAAATTAATCTTAAAATATTCTAAGCATCAAAGGAATGTAAATGATCAAATATTAATAGGATTTATTTTAAATCATATCTAAAAGAGGATAAAATTTTTTAGGATATAATTACGGAGTAATTAAGACACAATTCTTTTTATTGAACATCTGAGGGATAATATAAAACACAGTTTTTCAATTGCTAACATGGGTGTCTCCTTGTTAATGAATAAATTAATAAAGATTCGTTTAATAGTTTCTAAAATCCAATTGATTTTGGATTTAATAATTGAATTTTAAAAGCACTAAAATCTTCTTAGAGAATCTCTTGAATTTAATTAATTTGCTCATTAATGGCTTTTTCACATTTTGCCATTAATTCTATTCCATAACTATAAGAGTTGCATATTTATAGGGATGGAAAGTCAATCAACGGTCTAAATTAGTATGAATTATTACATTTCCAATATCAAATCTGAAACCACGCTAAATAGCTAATAGTGAATAGGGCTTTGGACAGTTTTGTATAACCTCAACATTTCGATATAACCTCTTTGCATAAATAAAAATAATTTTTGAATAATTGCTCCTTAAATAAGAGAATTCCTAGATTTTATTTCTTCAATTTAGCTACAAGCAAGTATTTTGTCTATTAAATCAGTCAATTTTTAATCCTTGGTATCCTTATATACCTGAAATTTTAATTCTTTATTTTTATTAGTAATTAATTCGTATGAACAAACCAGAGCATAAAAGTTCTTAAAATTTTAAATTACACATGTTGAAAGGCAAATTCTAAAATCATCATCTTAAAAGAAAAGAGGAAAAAATGTTGAAATATCTTATTAAAATTGAAGACAACCTTCCAAACGGGCGTTATATTATAGATATTACTCCAAGAGTGATGTTGATCTAAGTTATTTTTAGTTGATCGATATTTGAAATTCCTGTTTTAAAATTTTACCTGTCAAATAGCCCCATATTATATTATCATTAGTTATTATTTATAAAGTTCTAAATATTAAACTGTGAATTTATTTAGCCTCACTAATAGAATCTTTAATAGAGACTAAATAAATTATATTAGAATCAAAATAAATGTCCAAAATCTCATTGTTTAAAATTTTTATTATATTTTCTATATTCTCCAAAAGATCATGAGGATAATCTTTAAATTTCTCTAATTTTTTATAGAATAATCCAAAAGCATCCATCAGAAATTTTTCGTACTTTTTAAAAACTGGATTATCTATATTTATTTTTATTTTTTACTTTCTATGAATTTATTTTCGACCTTTACATCTTTTTAAAGATGTTTTGGGCANTTGAAAATTAAGCAAATATATTGACAATACAGTAATAAAATTTCGGTCACTCAAGACTTAATTAAATGCTATTAATTGTATTGGTGATTAGTATTTTAAAACAAAAGAACATATTAAATTATTAAGGTAATAGTGCAAAATTATTCTTAAAATATTCCAAGCGTCAAGAGAATGTAAATGATCAAATGTTAATAGGATTTATTTTAAATCATATCTAAAAGAGGATAACATTTTTAGGATATAATTACGGAGTAATTAAGACGCAATTCTTTTTATTGAACAACTGAGGGATAATATAAAACACAGTTTTTCAATTGCTAACATAGGTGTCTCCTTTTTAATGAATAAATTAACAAAGATTCGTTTAATAGTTTCTAAAATCCAATAGATTTTGGATTTAATAATTGAATTTTAAAAGCACTAAAATCTTCTTAGAGAATCTCTTGAATTTAATTGATTTGCTCATTAATGGCTTTTTCACATTTGCCATTAATTCTATTCCATAACTATAAGAGTTGCATATTTATAGGGATGCAAAGTCAATCAACGGTCTAAATTAGTATGAATTATTATATTTCCAATATCAAATCTGAAACCACGCTAAATAGCTAATAGTGTATAGGGCTTTGGACGGTTTTGTATAACCTCAACATTTCAATATAACCTCATTGCATAAATAAAAATAATTTTTGAATAATTGCTCCTTAAATAAGAGAATTCCTAGATTTTATTTCTTCAATTTAGCTACAAGTAAGTATTATGTCTAATAAATCAGTCAATTTTTAATCCTTGGTATCCTTATATACTTGAAATTTTTAATTCTTTATTTTTATAAGTAATTAATTCATATGAGCAAACCAGAGCATAAAAGTTTTTAAAATTTTGAATTACACATATTGAAAGGCAAATTCTAAAATCATCTTAAAAGAAAAGAGAAAAAAAATGTTGATATATCTTATTAAAATTGAAGACATTAAACTGTGAATTTATTTAGCCTCACTAATAGAATCTTTAATAGAGACGAAATAAATTATATTAGAATTAAAATTAATGTCAAAAATCTCATTGTTTAAAATTTTTATTATATTTTCTATATTCTCCAAAAGATCATGAGGATAATCAATTAATTTCTCTAATTTTTTATAGAATAATCCAAAAGCATCCATCAGAAATTTTTCATCCTTTTTAAAAACTGGATTATCTATATTTATTTTTATTTTTTACATTCTATGAATTTATTTTCGACCTTTACATCTTTTTAAAGATGTTTTGGGCACATCGAGTTTCTATCAAGCATAAATGTATCACTGCAATCACAATATCCTACATTTAAGATGACATTTACATTATTTGTACAGCATGATCTTTAATAATATTTGAACTAACTTTTATGAATTTCAGGAATAAAGCATTCCTTGCAAACTATATGGCTAGTATCTTTACTGCAATCAAAGCATTAGTAGGAAAGTTCCAATTCATTAATTCTATTTGCAAATAATTTTTTTGTTCCAAAATCTCTAAAACACATTATTTCACTTTAGAATTATCTTAGGGGACATTTAAGGCTTATGAAATAAATTCTTCATCTTTCAAATTATCAATTTAAAATTATGAATAAACAGATAAAATAGTTTGATAAGTAAAATAAAAAAAATAGTAGTATTTGATCAAAATTTGGTCATTCTATAGTGAATGATTTTGAATTTTATTAAATACTTTTGTTTTATTGTGAATGTATTTTTACTTAAAGGAGGGAAAAATAAAGTGCAAGCATAAATAATTATATTGTAAAAATGATAATTTGGATATTGACTTTTTCAGAATGCAGTTGATTATTTATAATGGTAATAATATGCATTTTTAAGTCATCTTAGAATTTTTCTAAACTATATTAGTCCTATATGAAGCATTATGTTTATAAATGATAAAACAAATTTTATTTTTGTTTAATTATATTAACTTTAGTATAATATAATAGTATTTCATTTTAGTACTCATTATTAATCTTAATTAACTATATATGAGTTAATAATACTATAAAGATAATCATACTCATTAATCCTATAATTACCCTTTATCTTAGAGCATTTAACTCCTCAAAACAGCATCTACAAAATGTCCTTCAATCTTTTATCCTGGGCTTCTAATATCTTTGATGGCGAACAATCTAAATATTTTAAAATGACTAGTGCATCTAAAGTTCCATTTTTCCAATTGAAGTTATTTTCTTCTAAATGAAGTCATTATATAGTATTGATATTTAGTATCTTTTGAACCAATTATTTATAAAACTTGAGTAAAAATAAACTTAACCCAATTTTGAAAATGAGGATTATATGATATTTGCATTAAAAAAAACAAAATCAATACTAAATTCTTCTTTACGCACATTATTAATTCATTTAATAAATACTTTCGTTTTACTAGGTACCTTCATTCCTTCATTCTATTGCTTTTAAGGAGTGCAAACGACAACTCCTCAATCACAATTTTTAAAGTTGATCTGAGTTAATTGGGAAATTCTTCCAACTAATTCGGATAAATAATATATTCAAAAAGTTAAAACTTCATAATTAATTAATCAAGAAACTGATTTAGTAGTATCCAGATGCATTAATGATAATCCCAAGAGCGATGTATTTATTTGATTAAATCTACCTAATGTTTAATATTTCTCTTGAAATTAATGTTTCTTTTAATCCATTAAATTGATTTCATCTAAATTCTGAAAATCTTTTAATAGTGTAGGTTTATAGACAACTTTATTGCCTTAGGAACATTTTTTTCTAATTTATTGAATTCTATTATTACGTATATTTACAAATAAAATTCAAAAAAATATTTATAACATTATTAAGCAAACTTTTATTCTCAGTGTAGAAAAAGAACATATTGAAAAAGTTAAAATTTTCATCAACCTATTTTTTCTGGTATTAATAAATCAACTCTTTATTACTACTTTTTTCAATCAATTTTTTTTTAAAGCTAACCTAAAAAAGTATTACCATCAATACCAAAGAGGTTTCGTCAAAAAATTATATAAATGAAATGCTACTTTATTTAAATCTTTCCCTCTGAAATATTTATAAAATGAAATTCCCTGCTCAATTTTTCTGTTAATTATTATCTTAATATTTATATTTTATTCATCAGATTGGCTATATAAGCAAAACAAAATCTTTCATCAACTTCTATTGCCTTATTGTAGTAATTCAAAGCCTCGTGAAATTACCTTTTTGCTAGCATTATCGTGCCTAAATATTTAAAACTCTTTACCTATTCTCATATAAGCTAATCAATAATTAGGATTGATTTGAATCACTTTTTCACAATCCTCTTACGATTCCTTAAACATTTTCTTTCTGTAAAATGAGTGGCTGAATTAATTAAAACCATTTTACCTCTGTTGAAAAGTGATACTTCATTAAATGACCCCAATTCAATAGCTTAATTTAAATCATTTAATGCATAATCATTTAAATTTTGTTTTAAGAATAGCTCCCCTTATAATAGAAAAATAATATAACCTCTTATCGTTAATGCTTTGCCATTTGAAGGGAAAAGTTGTAAAATTCATTTATATTTATAAGCCATCCTAAGTCGATTACTCTTTGAGCTTAATCTAATGAAAAAAAATATAACTAGGTTTACAAGGGTTGCTTAATATCATTCTTCAACCTTTTGCTCTTTTAAGCAATGCTTGTGTTTTTTTATGAGTATTGAGTGTTATTTGATAACATCAAGAATACTGAAATAATATATTTAAATATTTTATAGGTGATTATAATATTAGATATATTGTATGCTATATTTTAAAATCAAACTTTGATATTTGTCCGATTAATATCAATTTATGTTATGTTTTGTTAGCAAATTAAAATTCACATTAAAAATACAATTATTCCATTAAAAGAATTTGTTTCTTAAACTTTTTTTGCATTCATTTTTGGAACAGTTTTATTTAAAATAGTAACTAGGAAATGCTAAAGAGTACTCAAATTTGAGAAACAGTTACTCTGCATACACATTTAAAACTAGTTAATTAAAAGAGTAAATGATTGTATTTATAAGGTGGTTAGTTCAATTTGAAATTCTTTTTCTACATTCATGTAAAAGACCAGGATATTATGACAAAAATACAATACCTATAGAATTATAAGTTTGTTTAAAATCTACTTTTAGAATTTTTCAACTTCTTAGCTATCTCAATAAAATATTCTATAAAAAAAAAAATTATTTAATAAATAAATTAATCTGAANTAATTCATTTAATTATTACTTTCTTTTTACTAGGTACTTTCATTCCTTCATTTTATTACTTTTAAGGAGTGCAAATGACAACTCCTCAATCACAATTTTTAAAAATGATCTGATTTAATTGGGACATTCTTCCAACTAATTCGGACAAATAATATATTCAAAAAGTTAAAGTCCATAATTAAATAATCAAGAATCTGATTTAGTAGTATATCCCAAGAGCGAAGTATTTGTTTATAATTTTTTATTTAAAATTTCTTTTATTGTTTATAGTTTTAATTAGTTCCAAATAATCATTTGAATGCAAGTACTTTCTGATTTTTTTGATTAAATCTGCTTAATGTTTAATATTTCTCTTGAAATTAATGTTTCTTTTAATCCATTATATTGACTTCATCTAAATTCTGAATATCTTTTAATAGTGTTGGTTTATAGACAACTTAATTGTCTAAGGAACATTTTTTCTAATTTATTGAATTCTGGTATTAATAAATCAACTCTTTATTACTACTTTTTTCAATTTTTTTTTTGTTTAATGCTGACCTAAACAAGTATTACCATCAATACCAAAGAGGTTTCGTGAAAAAATTATATAAATGCTGCTTTATTTAAATCTTTCCCTCTGAAATATTGATAAAATGAAATTCCCTGCTCAATTTTTCTGTTAATTATTATCTAAATACTTATATTTTATTCATCAGGTTGGCTATATAAGCAAAATAACATCTTTCATCAACTTCTATTGCCTTATTGTAGTATTTCAAAGCCTCATGAAATTATCCTTTTGCTAGCATTATCGTGCCTAAATATTTTAAACTCTTTACCTATTCTCATATAAGCTAATCCATAATTAGGATTGATTTGAATCGCTTTTTCACAATCCTCTTATGATTCCTTAAACATTTTCTTTCTTTAAAATACAGTGGCTGAATTAATTAAAACCATTTTACCTCTGTTGTAAAGTGTTACTTCATTAAATGACCCCAATTCAATAGCTTAATTTAAATCATTTAATGCATAATCATTTAAATTTTGTTTTAAGAATAGCTCACCTTAAAATAGAAAAATAATATAACCTCTTATCGTTAATGCTTTGCCATTTGAAGGGAAAAGTTGTAAAAAATCATTTATTATTTATAAGCCATCCTAAGTCGATTACTCTTTGAGCTTAATCTAATAAAAAAAAATATAACTAGAGTTTACAAGGGTTGCTTAATATAATTCTTCAACCTTTTGCTCTTTTAAGCAATGCTTGTGTTCTTTTTATGAGTATTGAGTGTTATTTGATTACATCAAGAATACTTAAATAATATATTTAAATATTTTATAGATGATTTTAATATTAGATATATTTTATGCTATATTTTAAAATCAAACATTGATATTTGTCGATTAATATCAATTTATGTTATGTTTTGTTTGCAAATTAAAAATTCACATTAAAAATAAAATTATTCCATTAAAAGAATTTATTTCTAAATCTTTTTTTGCATTCATTTTTGAACAGTTTTATTTAAATTAATAACTAGGAAGTGCTAAAGAGTACTCAAATTTGAGAAACAGTTACTCCGCATACACATCTAAAATTAGTTAATTAAAAGAGTAAATGATTGTATTTATAGGTGATTGGTTCATATTGAAATTCTTTTTCTACATTCACGTAAAAGACCAAGATATTATGACAAAAATACAATGCCTATCGAATTGTAAACTTGTTTAAAATTTAATTTTAGAATTTTTAAACTTCTTAACCATCTCAATATAATATTCTATAAAACAAGATTTAATACATTATATTTGGGAAAGGGAAATACAATAAATTAGTTTTAATTATAAATAAATTAATCTGAACCATATAGTATATACTTTCAAATATCAATAAATGTAATATGTTTTATTTTTAAGAAAAAAAAATTAAAGCTTATTAATTCAGAGATTTTAATTTGAAAACATCTGATATTTCCTTTGTCATATCAGTTATTTATATTCACACGCTTCATACTTCTCGACAAATGAATTAGGAGTTTTAGATTCTGATCGTAAAATTAGGACTCTTATTAACAACTTTTTAAGATTAGGATTTCAGATAAATTGTTGAATCAATCAAATCAAGCAACTTTTTTATTTCAATTTCAGATTTGATTGGCATCTTTGAATAAGTAGATATAATAATAATCATGAATGTCTATATATTTATGTATATATATTTCTTTTTTAATGACTTTCATTTATTTGGATTTTCGGGGTTGTTTTAAGTTTCTTTGATGGCATTCTGAACAACATTTTAAGCATCCTTTTATTCCTTTTACTAATTGTCGGTTCCTTTAGAGCCTTTTTTATCGGTTCCGTTTAAACTTGAGATCATTCTTTTGATCATTTTCTAATTTTTTTTTTTTTAATTTAATATGTTCAAGGTTTATGATGCATTTCTTTTTGAATTTTTTAAGTAAGCCTAATAGAGTTATAAGTTCCAACACAAAAAAAACCCAAATCCTAAGAAAATAAAATTTGCCAGAAATTTAATGTAAAAAAATATAAGAATTTTTGAATTACATAAAATTTATATCGAGATATAAATAAATCAATTTGAGTATATTTATGTGTTTCTTTATTAATAATTTTATTGAATGGATTGGTAATCTTAAATCTGAAATTTTGATTATACTATTCTCAATTTAATGTTAGGACGAGTTTTCTAAATTTGAATTCCCAGTTCCTTTCCATTATTAGGTTTTATGTTATTACTTGAAAATAAAACTCTCAAGATTTAAGTGAACTCCTTTCATACATATCAGCTTTAATTTATAATAAAATGAAAAATTAAATCTCTAATTGCGTGTAAGAAGAGATTTAATATTATTAGATCAGAAAATCGATATTCACATATATTCTATCTCAGCATTTAAGGATTCTTTAATAGTATTTAAGAAAGAAATTTAAAATTCGATTTCATTAATTACGAAATTTATTTTTCATTATACTATCAAAATTGAAAATTGCAATAATTAGATTATGCACTTATACTATAAATATAAAAATATTAATTACGATTATATTAAAATAATATTATATTTGCAACAAAAATTGATCTTGACGATCTCCACAGTTATCAAATATAATGTTAAAGATTTGAACAATACCTATCACCAAGTACCATAATTAATTTTCTAATTTATTAAAATTTAATATAGATTCATGATATTAGTAATTATTTTGTGCACATACTAAACAAAATAATATACCTTCCCAAACACTACTCTCTATATGGATCATTTGAGTTTTAAAAAAATCCTCTCAATTCATGATTCTGAATTATCTGAGGATAGTTGCTTAACTTTTGGTATATGTCAAAATATAGCCCATTAAACGTATAAAGTTTAAGAATCAAATTGGAATGTTTCAAAGTAACTGCTTTTAATTAATTAATGTGATGGAATATACTAGTCAGACTTTAAAATTTATTTTTTACGTTTGCCTTGACAATTCCACTAAAAGAATTGTCAAGATGACATAGTTTGTAAGTGATGATGATGAATAAATAAAATTTGAGAAGTATGTAGATCCAATGAAATACTCATTTAATTCATATCATGGCCTATTTTAAAGAAATTATAGTTAATCATTATTGAATCAGAGAACAAAATTTTCAATCAAATATTAGAGAATATTGACCTTTTCAAAAAATAATAACTATTATTAACTTTTGGAGAGATCTTGGAAATAATGAATTCTTAAATTGATTAAGTTAAATAAGGAATGTACCTTTCTTTGTTCCCAGGATAAATTGTTATTTATGAACCTTTTATATAATCAATCCCAATATCATTTGATTTTGAAAACTAAATAATTGAAGGATATGAGAATCTAATCTAATGCAATTGCAAAAAAAAATGAATAAGTAAACAAATAGGACAATGACTTAATTATTCTTGATTCAAAGATATATATTTCAGGAAATGCTACCCTCAATACAAATTTATTTGAAAATTATATCCTTTTAAAAATATTATAAACTAATAGCGAGATGGTTGAAAAATTGAATTTACAGAAATTGGTGTAGTTGTGATTATTATGCTTTAAGTGGATGGTTAAAAATAGTAAATGCTCTTTAAAATGCTCAAGAACTTTCCTATTAATTTAGGAAAATGACAACATATTAAGGATAAACACAACTCTTTATTGAAAATTTGGCAACTTTTGAATTGTTCTATTTGATTTCTCCTTTTTTTAATCAAAAATAGTGATTACAACCTATAATATTAATTTTCCTATTATAACAAATGAGATTTTGGATAATTCTTAAAAAATAGAGACGTAATTTTAGATTTAAGCAGATATTATTACTTAATGGCATTATTTATTTTTAGAATTCAAAGTTAATCAACTCAATATTAAAATAACTTTTTATGATTATTATTAAAATGATGTCAAATCTTATGAAGCATAAGTTAAAGTCATTAGTTTCATAATTGTTAATATAAATTAATTTATGGTAATATTTTGTAAAATTCATTAAATTACTTGAAAATGGCAATACGAAATTTTCAATTTGTTAATTGCAAGGATGATTAAGGATGACAAAATGCCATTGGAGTTGTTTAGACTGTGATGGTGCAGGTAAGACACGTTGCTTGTCTTGTTCAGTTGAGTCAAACAGAATATATCTTCCTGAAGTTAAGCAATCGTTTGCCCATTTGATACAATAGATTATGAAAATAAATGTATTACTTATTTAGATGTAAATCTAAAGTTAAATATTCTAGAGGATAATTATCAAAAATGCAAAACTGGTTATTTGGGGTTGGGTTTGGGTTTGGGTTTGGGGTTGGGGTTGGGTTTGGGGTTGGGGTTGGGGTTGGGTTTGGG